CACAACTTGGGGATATCAAGCTCAAAATTAAAGAATTGGACGGAAGAATACACTGAGCTGAGAATTTCAGACAGACATTAGAAAAATGAATAAGAATTGGGAGTAGGTGTAAAAAGAGATTAGAGGACAGATTTGGTTGGATGATCGTGTTTTGTGACCTTTTCTCCATTAGGAGTAAAAAAACGTAACTATGTAATTGAATCCACTTTCGGATAGCGAAGAGCAGTAGGTGAAACCCATTTATTTTGTTTATAATATATCTGCAAACTCACGGAATGATTTAATGACTTGAATCACGTAGTTGGTACCAACTTCATTCTTTCTTTGGTAGTTTTTTCTTGTGTTGTATTGAACTACTTAATAATATTGAGTAGATCATGTTACATTCAATCATAATTAATGACTTGTTTACAGTGTTACTGTTAATTTAAGTGGATACAAACACTGACTTCTTTCATTTTCGTATATATAGCATTATCAAGGAAATTAATTAGATGCCTCTGAAGATGCTGCTATCAACATATTCACCTATATATATAAATATATGTTTATTTACTATATAACTCCGCTACGAGCGTTTCTGGGGTTACTGTCGGCCCGAAGTCAGGATAATGGAGAGGGTTCAGGAATGAGGTTAGTGCTCTCATCCTGTAGAAAATCAACTCGCCATAATAGGCTACGTATAAAAAATAATTCAGCCTATTCAAACTCTGCCCTGACAGTTGTAAGGTCTTCATTTGGAAGAGTTATGAAGCTTCGTGATAAAAGCCATTTTTCTTCCGAAGTCACGAGACCAATAACCTTCTTGACAATCCTTAATATAGGTACATGGAATGTTCATACACTGTGGGAGACCTCAACAACCATTCAAATTGCTGCGGAAGTGGAAAACACAGAATATGTCGAGATCATTCTTCAGTATTCAAATAGGTGTTGTTTTACGCTCTTGCCTCCTCGTTCAAGTAGTCAGTTTGAGGAGTTACTGCATATCACATTCAGATTTGACACACTACACATCATAACCTATATTTTGGAGTACGAAATATGAAGTTTTCCATTGATCACACTTTAGGAGGAGTATCAGTTACTGTGAGATCACAGGAATTTCTCAATACCAAGTGCTAAATAGCACGAAACCTATATTTAAAGTTCCTTGCTGTTTGCCTTAGTCCTTCTAACTTCGATATCTAGTTTTGTATTGTAAATGTCATTAGTTTTCTGAGTGTTTTAAAGGATAACTATCACTGGATTTCCGTATCAAAAGTTTGGCGAAACCACAACTGTAACAAGTTCGAATTTCAGGGATACTCTGGTCAAATCTAAAACCAAAGTTTCCAAAGGTAAACTAAAAGTTAGTCTTACAATCAAATCTGAGGGTGCACTTATGCTCTCTGAGCCAAGAATTCTAGACATAGATAAGGCTAAAATAGCTAGGTCCGAACTCGACGATATGCTTCCATCCCTATGATGGCCAACAAGATGACAAATTTTCACCTCGGCAAATTCGTCATCTTGACTTCATATCACATTTCAACAGCCACGTAAGAACCTTAAAACGTCAGGATAATGAGGCTCGGTTAGAAATGAACAAAATTCAACAATCATCTCTAAATTTTGAAGCCTTAGCAGATAATCAGAGATAGGACTGAGAAATAAAAAATATTCTTTCAGCAAACAGCTCCAGTCTCTAATTAAAACGGGTTCCCTAATGAAAAGAAAAGCAGTTGTACGCCAAGAAGTAACAGAATACTGACTAAATGTGCGATTAGGTTTCAGCCTAGATGAAGTAGATTATTCGAACAGAACCCAACTACGCTAGCGGCTCACTCTGGCACCATTCTCACCCTCCCTGACCTCTCGTGGTTTAGTATGATATGATGAGGCAGATCACATCATAGGTGTTCACTAAAATCGAATCGTAACAATCGCACAACCCTTAATAATATCCTTCCGCATAACACGAAGTACCGTTATCGAATAGTTTCACGGTCTATAAGCTGACATTCTAAACTGGTGAACCTTGATCTAGCCAAGTTATATATATAAGTAGAGCGAAAACTCAGCAGTCTGAGATTCTACCATGTTAATTGGTTCGAATTCATTTATCGATAACAATTATTCAAAAGAATGAATGCCAAAACTGACTATCTAGTTAGAGGCTTATGATATATCCTGTTTTTTGATGTAAACGACAACAATTAACTAGTCTGTTTGGGCATGTACGCATCCTCTTAACGTTGTCTCGATATTGTAATTTAATCATAAGCTCTTCGAATAATGACTGGTCGTATCCAACAGTGGAATCTAAGAAGTACAAGTCATCTAATTTGGGATTCATCATCTTGATATACCTACACTGCAGTATCCATACTTAGACAGGGAGTAGAATCCAGTAAATTATACTGCAAACACACAAGGCTGGTCAGCCAGTGAGTCAGCAACTGCGTAGAACTTTGTACATACGCACATCAGTTCAAGTTGCCTTACCGCATCAACGCACAGATTGGAGTGTCAAATCAAATCCCATAGGGGTAGATATAGTAGAAGTATTAGCAGTTAAGGAGAAGATTAGGGTTCGAAGATATTATTCAAGAAATATCATTCAGTGAGATAAACTTAAAAAGAGAAAGATAAAGTTGGTGAGGAATTCAGAAGATTAAGATTTGAGAGAACACGAAGAGTGGATGCACCTGACCTATTAGAAATGATTTTGAACAATGTCATTCAAGGTTTTTAACCAACGTTTACTATCGTCTTGCGGACCACAACCAGGTAGTCTACTCCTACAAATATGACTTAATCCAGATGTCAGTGACTTCATGGATGTCTGCCATGTTCTGGTTTGGCCACCCCTAGCTTTCTTCCAACCCACCCCTACACCAGAATACATCACCCGTTGAGGTATTCGGCGACTGTACATACGTCACACATGTCCCAACCGATTGACGATTCACTCCTATGCGAAAAGTGCTTCCAAGACACCTATGACCGAATATCAGTAACCTACAGATGTCCTCTACTCTTAACGGCCATGTTTCGTATCTATATAGTAAGATGGGATGAACCCCTACACAATAAACCTGTCCTTCGGTTAGCAAACGGATATCTGTCCTACTCTATAAATGACGTGACTTGGCAAAAGCCAATCAAGCTTCCGTGCTGAGGTTTCGTCAGTCATTAGACCATCAGCACTGATGAAACTCCCGAGATAAGTAAAATGGTCTACACGTTCGACTAATTCACTTCCTATCACTAGAACAGGTGTCAAGACAAGCCACCTCAAGCTTTCTCTAAACCTACTCTTACATCACAAAACATCACTCGTCCAGTCACTCCACTTAATCCAATAAACTTGACAAAGTAAAAATAAATGCTTCAGTACTCATGTTTTCTTGTTGGTAATCTTCCATTCACCTGAAATGTTTCATACATTCTCTGAACACTTTAATAATCTAACCTATCGACTTCATTTGAACTTGATCCAATAAACTATCAGATCTTAAATAGTAATTTTTTCGCTTTTATAAATATTGGTAAATCAGTACTACAAAGTTACATACTTATAATCAGGGTATTTAAATTTTTGGATAATTGAATATCAATTTCATTGCAATTCATCATTTTAAAAAAATTTACTAAGATAGATGTTAGTTATTTTCATAACTAATTGTAGTTATGCCATAACTAACCAATCAGATTGTGGTTTAAGCGCCCATCACGTGATCTGACCTGACGTGTCTGTAAACATCCTTTGTTGTAAATGACCTACAAATTGGTTGACATTATTATCTGATTATATTACTTACTTACTTACGCCTGTTACACCAAATGGAGCATAGGCCGCCCACCAGTTTTCTCCAACCAACTCTGTCCTGGGCTTCCCTCTCCAGTTCTGTCCAATGTTTGTTCATTCCTCTCATATCTCTATTTCTCGGCATAATGTGTTCCTTGGCCTTCATCTTTTCCTTTAGCCTTGAGGGTTCCATGTGAGGGCTTGTCTCGTGACGCAGTTCGGTGCTTTTCGTAGTGTGTGTCCTATCCACTTCCACCTCTTCTTCCTGATTTCCTCCTCCACTGGAATCTGGTTTGTTCTCTCCCACAGTTCGTTGTTGCTGATGGTGTCTGGCCAACGAATACGAAATATTTTACGTAGACATCTGTTAATAAACACTTGTATCTTCTGGATGATGGCTTTGGTAGTTCTGCATGTTTCCGCTCCATACAGTAGAACTGTCTTGACATTTGTATTGAAAATCCTGATTTTGGTTTTGGTGTTAACGTCCTCGAAATCATCTCCATCAAGAGTGGTTTGGTTGGTGCATGTTGTGTTGCATCGGAGAATTTCGTTTTTTCCTTTATGTATGTTGAGACCTACTGCTGCTACTGAGGCTGCTGCTACACTGGTCGTCTTCTCTTGCATTTGTTGTTGCGTGTGTGATAGAAGAGCCAGCTCATCTGCGAAATCCAGATCGTCCAGCTGCGTCCTAACTGTCGAGTCGATACGGTGCTTCCCTCCAGATGTCGACGTCTTCATAATCCAATCGATCACCAGGAGAAAGAGAAAAGGTGAGAGTAAGCAACCTTGCCTGACATTGGTCTTCACCTCGAACGAGTCTGTCAGCTGACCTCCGTGCACGATTTTGCAGTTGAATCCATCATAAGAAATCTTATTATATTGATGTGACTCATAACTTTACTCATTTCCACAAGACACGCTATATTGGTCGGTACGTTTGCTCGTCTTACTTGATAATTGTAATTTCCTTATTTATTGTACTAATCTAATTGTGTTTTTATGTTTAGAAACAGATAAAGTTTGAAGCAAAAATTTATCTTCTTCTAACTACAGCTTTCCCAATATTGCGTTTACAGTTCTAGAATTACATCTGTAAGACAAATTAAATCCTACAATAGACATTATTTCATTTGTCAATTTTACAAATAAATGAACTCATTAAAAAAAAACTGTTAAAAGATATAATTTTATTTCAAATAATTTCTGAGCGAACAAAAAAAACATCTTTTAAGTTATTAAACTGAAATGGCCAGTCACTATCAGCATTTCTCAACAACAACAAAAAAATTTTGAAAACGAAAGATGATTCATTTTAAACAAAAATGTTCATTTTCTTTTTTGTTCAATGTTACATAATTTGTCTAACACAAAAGTTTTATTACATTAGTATGAAATGACCTTGACTAAGATTTATATTAACCCCCCTAATCAAATGTATCAATCAGAAAAAGCTTCTCCTTTAGAACAATAATTTGACTTTAATTCAAAATTGCCTCCATTCAAATTGCTGTGATTATTGATTGATTTAAACAAAATTTCCAGCTGATTTACTAGAATTTGGATTTAACATTGTTTCATTATCTGATGATGGTGTATCAATAAAACCATAATGTTTTTCCGGCATAGTTTTCAATTGTTCACGTTGATTTTCTCGTTCTAAACAAATTTTTTGATAATCAACAAACATATGCCACCAATGATTTAAAATTTCTCCAGTGATTACATCACCGGCATTATTACGTATCATATGTAATAAAAAGAAACCATCATTTTTAACAAATTCTTTAATAAAATTATCTATACGTATATCATCTAATTTAATATTACACCCGTCACAATTAAATTGATGATTTTGATATTTATCAAATAATTGTGAACGTACTGAAATTAGTAAATAATTACTAATATATGTACTTTGACGATTTTGTACAGATAAACGTATTAACCAAATAAATAAACTGATTGCTGTAACAATAGTCACAAATGCAATCCATAACCATAAAAATATATAGATTTTCTCATTGAACATATTCACAGGTAATGCACAAATAGCTGTGAATACATTATTCTTTGTGCCTAAATGACGTACATGTACTGGACAATAAGTTTGACGTGGAAAAAATTCACTTTCAGTCCATTCATGTTTTGATGTCAGCGTACCAATTAGACGATCACCGAAATTCAACAAATTCCCATGATATCCTAACAATGTTCGTATAATATATAATTGACCAATAAGATTAGTTAAATATAATAATTTTACAAATATATATCCCAATGATATGTAATTCCCAATACGTTTACCAAACATTAATAAACCACAACCAGAGAAATGTGATATTTTACGTTGAAATAATGACCATTTAGTTAATCGTCCATCATAATGTTGACGTCCTAGACGAAATAATTGATAAGCGGCAGATTCAACAAATTTTTGACGTTTTACATAATCATCCGCGGTGTTCGCTTTATAGGCCATATCTAATATTGCTTCTAAATTTTCACCCATTACATGTGTTGCTAATGATTGCCATATGACATGTGGAAAAAAGAATAACATTGCTTGGATGGATAGACAAAATGGTACCCATTGATAGAATGCTTTGAAAAAGAGAAAGTAAAAAAAGAAGGCAAAAAAAGAAATTTTTAAAAGAATAATTGTTCAATAGAGTGGAAAATATTTTTAACTCCATCTGAGGTCCTTCTCGGGTTACTGCCGTTCCCAAGGTCGGATCATACAGTAGGAGAGTTGGACATGAGGTTAGCAGCGATTTAAGCTCGTGGAAATCCAACTCACTAAAACAACAACGCTAACCAGATAAGTAATTCTCTGGTCGCCGGTCTATGTTTGATTAGGGGGTAACAGGCGTATGGAGAATATTTTTAAAAAATGAATTGCACTACTCATTTTCAGTATTAGAAAAGTGTATTAAATTGCTTTGGTGATAGCATATTGTGGTGCTGTGGTGAGAGCTACTTATAAGTAGTAAATGACGTGAGTGTAAACGTAATGTCTGGCAGCAGAAGATGGGGGAAGATCAAGAAAGGAAGAGTTAGAACACAATGGAATTTGTATCAAACGCATGAATAGTGACAATGGATTGATGTTTTGTAGCAGGAACAGTCCAGTTCGATATGATGAACTGTTATTTTGCAAATTAACGATTTACGATGTGGTTTACCGATTTTACTGAGTAACTCTGTAATTTTCGTTACGTGCAATTCGGTTGCCCCACCTGTGTTCTCCTTCACTACAATATGACTGACTTAGATGCTTGTGGAAAGTTGAAACTTATTGAACTTTAGTGTGTACTATTAGGTTGAGCCCATAGAGTTCGTTCTAGCATGTGGACAAATTAATCAATCCTTTCTCGTCGAGTTATTCATTTTGTAGTGACTCCACATATAATCGAGTTCGCTTACATCTAACTTGGTTAAGCCCTTTCGTTTGATTTATTTAACCAAGCCAATTTGTATTGCAACAGTCTATATGTACCATTTGTCCTTATTGTCTGGTTTGTATGAGCTCATGTGACTTGTTCCACCTGTCATTTGACCTTGTCAATCATTCGTCGCTTTTATTCATGTGTGTGCATACCTATCCCATTGATCACATGTCTATCTTACATTTGTCTGACTATATATTCTTAGTCACGCTCCATGGCTCATTAGCCTTCTCCAACGCGCTTCGCCTGTTCATTCGGTTCCTTCGCACATTCGTTCGCATTGTAATCCCTGGAGTTGGCTCAACAGCCTTCTTCAATTCATGTCGCTTTATCCCTTCCATTCACTGCAACTTCGCTTCGCTTTGTGGTGTGTACAAAAATAAACGTATTCAACACTTTGTGTTCACCTTCTGATTAATAAACCGTCAGACGCTATTTAGTAACGATTGACTGGGCGAGCTAATCACGAATGATTAAGAACACGCAGTAAATCGACACACTACAATATAACTTTCGACCTGGTCAATAATTCATTCATAAACTTGATTGTTTTTATACGAATGTGCGTGTGGGTGCCGCTTACTTTGCTTATTACATGTCTAGCCTACTTTTTTCTGACCATAAATACTTGGTCATGCCTCATCACATTAAGTTGGCTCACTCACCTTCTTCATTTCGATCTGCTTCGGTTTTATGCTTTGTATCGTCATGCCTACTAGCAAACAATGTCACATTTTTAATTTATTAACTTCGAAATATATTCGTTAATGATAACTAAAAATCATAGATCAATCAATATTAGACCACGATTAGATACCTCGAAGCACTGGACAGCCAATTCATCCTGGTATAGGACTCATCAGTCGTGCACATCCACTATTCCTGCCACGCTCAGGATCCGAACCCAGGACCTTGGGACTTGCGGGCGAATGCTTAACTTCTGAACCACTGATCAAGCATCTAACGGTGTTAATTCGTCCCATAACAGGATGAAACAACTGTCCAGAGCTTCCAGGTTTCGAATGGTTGTCTAACATCTATGGATTTATGATTTCAGAAAGCAACTCAACAATCTCTACAAACTTTTCTTGCAAATAATATATTTATTTCCAAAATGTTGACAATGTATTAAACGAAAAACTCCGAGAGATTAGAAATTTTGACATATAGTGATTTCTGTTCAAGCAAACATCTCGAACTTTCTTAAAACTAACATGAATTATCAAAAAATATTATAAGTCGATTAAGCAGTTGCATACTTTGAGATGATGGAGACGATTTGCAGCTCAGGTAGATTATTGTGATGGAGTCTCGTTCTCTGAACTGGATGTTTTGGTTGTGGAGCTTTCATTGTTCTTCTGAACAACATCATCAGCACAAACTTCAGATAGAGGTGAAGCATTCGAATTTCTCCACGATTGACCTGTAGCTTGTTCTGTTAACCTCATCATTGATTGGTTGTTATTGACCTTAATCCTGTCGTTGTACGCACCTTTATTTTGATTGTATCCCGTTAATCCTATGTTGCTTATGATTTTTCTGATTGACTGATAAATTGGGTCGATTTCGATGTGTTTGTTGATCGCTGATTGACTTGAGTTTCAAGTTTCTAAAAATTCTCTAGTGTTCTTTGTGCTCCTTCCATCCAGTATTTCAACATTCTTCCAATCGAATGTATGTCCGTAGTTATCCGTATGTATTGAAATAGGGGAAGAATTGTCGTGGCGTTTGACTGCTGACTCATGTAAATGTAGGCGTAGCTGAAGAGGCCGTCCACTTTGTCCTCTATGTAGTGTTTTTCACAGTCTGAGCATTTGTTTATTTTGTAGATGATATTTAGTTTTTCTTCTCTTGTCATTTTGTCCTTCCGGTGTCTACATAAGGTTGATTGAAGTGATTCTGTTGGTTTGTGTGTTACACCTATTTCAAATGGTCCCAGCAGTCGTGCTGTAATTTGCGACATGTGTTTTATATATTTGGTAGGTTAGTCCGTTTGTTCGTTCTTGTACTTAGTTTCGCTTCCGCTGATTATTTCAGTTGATTTATTTTTGATGAAGTTTCATGGATAGCTCAGAGAACGGCAACCTCTCACAGTTACCACTCCTCTCTATTTACTCGGTTAGTCTGCTTCAGAAGCATAATTTATGCAGTTCTGGTGTGATCGTATTCATAGCATCTATCAACCTTGAGGTGTGTGAAATGCTTAGTGTATATATTCTTCGCATAGTTAAACAGAGCTTAATAAGAAATTGTAAACTGATACTCGATAGGAAAGCTTATTTGAAATCCTCATACATCGACAATACCACTGAAATAGTAAAGATTGTGTTCTTTGAAATTCAGTCCATTGTTCAAACGCTTTTCATATATAGTATTTCAACTCGTTTTTTTAAACTTTTAACAGGGTTTTTTAAAATAACCACAGCGTTTTTTAAAATTTTTTGTAATCCTTAGAATGTCAGAAATAAATAGAAAAAACAACTTGATTTCGAATGAAAAAAGAAAAAGCCTTATAAAAAAAGTTATTGAAGATGGATACAGCGTCAAGGATGCGGCATTTCTTACAGATGTAAACTATCAGGCCGCTACAAATATTATATATAAGGTTGTATAAAAAGGAATCGCGAGTTGAGAAGAAAAAAACAGGAAAACCATCAAATAAGAAGATATGCGGTGATATTATCAATTTTGTTGAATAATTGATAGAATTAAACCCGTTAATAACGATGGTAGAAATTCGAGAAAAAATAGAAAACATATTTTCTATAGGCCTTTCTTTTGAATCTATAAGAAGGATAATTTATAGACTTCAGATTACTTTGAAAAAGATTTCTTATACATCGGTCAATATAAATTCGGAATCCAGTAAAAACAAACGCCAAATTTATGCTCAAAATTTTATGAACATTGAAGATATACTTATAAAAGTTTTTATAGATGAATCTTCTTTTAATTTGTACTTAAGAAGAAGAAGTCTATAAATTATCCTTCTTATAGATTCAAGAGAAAGGCCTATAGAAAATATGTTTTCTATTTTTTCTCGAATTTCTACCATCGTTATTAACGGGTTTAATTCTATCAATTCTTCAACAAAATTGATAATATCACCGCATATCTTCTTATTTGATGGCTTTCCTGCTTTTTTTCTTCTCAACTCGCGATTCCTTTTTATACAACCTTATATATAATATTTGTAGCGGCCTGATAGTTTACATCTGTAAGAAATGCCGCATCCATGACACTGTATCCATCTTCAATAACTTTTTTTATAAGGCTTTTTCTTTTTTCATTCGAAATCAAGTTGTTTTTTCTATTTATTTCTGACATTCTAAGGATTACAAAAAATTTTAAAAAACGCTGTGGTTATTTTAAAAAACCCTGTTAAAAGTTTAAAAAACGAGTTGAAATACTATAATGTAGTTCCCCCTGATCAAGTTCACATTATATGTTGTTTAGAAATAAACAAATGTACAAATTTTGTGCGTTCACTGAACAATCTACGCACAGTTATGAATAAAATCAACTTTAACTACTCATAAGTAGGCAAAAATAGCTAACTACAAATATTTCTATACTTCATAAATAAAAATATCCTCTTTTCAAAATAAAACTTTGTTAATTATGATTGATTTTGAATTTTGAATCAATCAATTTGTTTATTTACATCTTAATTATTGTTGTATCAATGTGCTGTTTTAATGTTTATCATGATTGAATCCAATTGAGTTTATTCAATTTTTAGTCAATTGTCATGCATGTTATAAAACGGAAGTAAAATGTTGTTCTTTTATTCATTAAACATAATTTGATTGATCATTTATCATTATTTCTGATCATTAAAACTTTAAATAAACCCCAAATTTTAGCGGAAACTTACTGAAAACTTGATTACTTGTGTGAATATTAATTTTTCACCATAAATCGATTGATATTTTTTAGCATTGCTAATGATTAACATCATCAAAAATTCTCCCGATAGTAGCTGCTACGTTGACACGTGGTGGTTGGGCTTGCACATGTCGTGATGACTCAACTGAGCTCTATATTGGCTGGATGGAACATATATTCCTGAAGTTTCTATCATACCAGGCAGGTCGATTGGAGAACGATGAGACTAAAAACAGCTACTCAAGGTCTCAGGACAAAGTGGTAATTCTGGATGCAGAGGGGTGTGACAGCAGTAAGGTGTTTCCCTCGGACAACCAGCATCTGCAGCGATTCTGCCTTCTCACAAGGAAGGACGGAGTTAGAAAATATCGACCCCAAAAATATCACACCTCACCTTACCTCCGACAGTGTAGCCATTCTAAGAGCGGAGCTAACACTTTACAAACTTCCTATAAAAAGGCTGTGTGTGACCGACCTCAAGTAGTTGTCTCTTTGGCTGTACCGTTACGCTCATAGGTCTCTAAGACCGACATCAATCGGTTCTTCTTTTCAAGTTCCTCAAGAAGAAGTACCTTTCCACTGTTTAGGCAACCGGGAAATGACATCAGCCCTCAAACCTGTAACAGCACAGGAGACCAGATTGGTCACAGTCAAATTCTTCCTATACTGAGGTTTAATTTCTTGTTGTGGATGAGTATTCACTTTCAGAGAACCAACTAGTTATGCAATATTATTTTGGTTATCAATGTTTCCACACAATATATCAGTTAATAGTGTCAATTATCATTCATGATTATCACTCAGTCATTCAGCTAAAGCATAGAACTTCGTATATACGTACATCACTTCAAGTTACAATACCACATTAGCACACAGAGATTCAATTGTCAATTCAAACCCCAAAGTAGTAGAGGTAGCATAAGTACTAGCGGTATATGGATGATTATAAATAACAATTTATCTCCATTTAAAAAGTTTTTTTCTGAGTATTTTATTTTTGCTATATTCACATGTTTAATCTTTACCCTCAAATGGTCTAGTGTGGCCGAGATTGGGGAGAGCTTGCTGTTTTTTCTTGAAAGGTTTTGATTCGGTCACGCGTATACAAGCACTGCCAGCGAAATTCTACTCACTGCTTTCTCCTACCGAGGGTGCTGTTTATCAAATTGTAAGGACCAGAAGTGAAAGTCCAACTGGCGATCCACCTAGGGGAGTTGGAACGTCCTCACTCCAAACCAACATTGCACATGGGCTCATTGACTATGATGAGACTGCAACTCTTGATATCGCTGCATTAGACAATACCTCGTCGTTAAAGGCTGGGGACGTGATCCTCGTAAGAAAATCATCTGTTTCGGTTGAGGTACCGGAGCGATAGTGTGGTGCATAAATACTTAGGTACCTCTTTGTAACAATATTTATGTACTTAAGTGTTAATCATAAGGTTTCATAAGAAATAAATCTTTCATGAAAAAATTAATTCACGTGTGATGTCACAATTTCCCCATGTCAAGACAGTTCTACTGTATGGAGCGGAAAGCTGGAGAAATACCAAAGCAATCATCCAAGAGATACAAGTGTTTATTAACAGCTGTCTACGCAAAATACTTCCAATTAGTTGGCTAGACACCATCATTAACAAGCCACTGTCGGGAAGAACACACCAGATTCCATTGGAGGAGGAAATCAAGAAGAAGCGTTGGAAGTGGATAGGACACACACTACGAAAAGCACCCAACTACGTGACAAGACAAGCCCTCACATGGAATCCTCAAGGTCAGAGGAAAAGAGGAAGGCAAAGGAACATATTACGTCCAGAAATAGAGAAAGATATGAGAGGAATGAACAAAAACTGGCCAGAACTTGAAAGGGATGCCCAGAACAATGTAGGTTGGAGAACCCTGGTCGGCAGCCTATGGTCCGTTGGGCATAACAGGTGCAAGTAAGTTAGTAAGTAAGAATATGTAAAAATTACATACATATATATATATATCTATACATTACTTACACATATCAGCTTTTTCACGTAGTTTCTCCCAATCTTCATCTGTCAATGGCATTTGATCATTTTCACGTATAGCTATTGTACCACGTACCCAACATACAGATTCAGCAAATTCATTAAATTTATTCTCTGGTGATGTTGGCAATGTACATGCAATTGGTCGTAGAAAATAAACATTTGCCATTGTTACACCAGATAACATTAGAATAATAAAACAACTGAAAAAATGATTTAAACGATCAGCCAGATCTTCTAAATGTAAAAATGCATTATTTCTAGAACCAGCCAGTCGATCTAGAAATCCAAGACCAAATTCTAACACCATTGTGATGTTACTTGTTCTCTGTTTTCTTTATTTAAATAGAAAACCTTTAAAAGTAGACACAGAGAGAGAGAGGGAAAATAAAACACACAAAGAGACAAAGAAAAATTAATCTTTCATCGGATTAAGAGTATAATTCAAACAGACTGAAAGAAAATTGTCAATGCGCACTGCTATTGATGAATAGTCCTATTGTGGTGCGCGCTACTTATAAGTAGTATATGACGCGAGTGTCAACGTAATGTCTGGCAGAAGAGAAGATGGGGGAAGATCAAGAAAGGAAGAAGAGTGGGAACACAATGAAATTTGTATGAAATGCATGAATAAGTGAAATGTCAGACAATGGATTGATGATGGATTGAAGATTTGCAAATTAACGATTTACGATATGGTTTTCCTATTTTACTGAGTAACTCTGTAATTTTCGTTAAATACAATTCGATTGCTCTCACCTGTGTTCTCCTTCACTACATTTGGTGTCGCTGCCTACACAAAGGATGAAGATTCCTTGGCCGAAGGTGTTTGAGGACGGAGATGTGCGGAGCTTCCTGAGGGAGTTTGAGGCCGTGGCGGAGCTGATGGGTGTGAGGGAGCCAAATGCGAAGTTGGTGGTGCTGGGGGCGCTGCTGAGAGGTAGGGCAAAGGCCGTATATGACAGCTTGGACGTTGCTGGCGGGAAGACGACGTGGGAGACGGTCACCGGGCGGCTGAGTTCGACAGCCCAGTGGACAGGGAGAAAGCGCTGCAGGAGTTTCGGTAGGACGAAACGGTTGGCTGTCAGTACTTCCATGTCTCTTCTTATGGTACTCTAAAACACTGATCAATTCATGATTTCAAGTAAAAGTAACTTAACAATCTACACGCTTCCACAATGTAAACTAAGGGTATATCAAAAATATCACAGATGATTTCATGAAATTGTGAATAATTTCAGGGGTGAAAATGAACATTGTCATGGAATTTGACTTGGCAATTTAAAATTATCTCTTAATCATGATAACATTTGAAGAATTTGAGAGTAATTCCTTTCCAGAGGTCGGTCAGTACATATTACCATCATGTTGGAATTAAACAGTTTTCCAATATCTTACTATTTTTAAAATAATTTCAAGTTGATTTTAATCACTGATAAGTGTGTCATAAGACAAACCCCAGATCAGAACCCTCAAGGTCAACGGAAAAGATGAAGACCAAGAAATACATTATGCCGAGAAACAGTGAAAGATATGAGAAGAATGAATAACAATTGGACAGAACTAGGAAGAGAAGCCTAGGACAGAGTAGGCTGGAGAATACTGGTCGGCGGCCATTGCTCCTTTGGGGGTAACAGGCGAAAGTAAGTAAATAATTCATCACTGATAATATAATGTCTTCAAACTTTGATATCTTAATTATTGACAGTCCATTGGCGACAGACACAAGAATAAGTACCACATTGGTCAAAAAATATTCAGCATTCAAATTACTTTGTTCATGAATATCCGATTAGATAACCTTGAATTGTGTATATTTTATACAGAAATTTTAATTGTAACTCAAATACCATAAGTTGATCAACTTAACGCTGAGATACACTACTGTTGTGTCAGTGCAACAGAAGTTGAGATGCAAGATCAAACAAAAGGGATCTTAAAATTCATTTAATCTAGATTCATATTTAAACATCGTAGATTTGGAACACTGAACTGTAAAAACCAACTTTTATTTTAATTTCAACTGGTAAATATTTTGTTTCTTCTCCTGTCTGTCTCCATTTTTTTGGCGTAAAGTGTTTCTTAGTTTTCCTCTTTTCCGTTGGCCTTGGGGACCTCAAAAGAGGGCTTATTTTGTGACTCAGTAGTGTGATTCCCCCAGCGTGTGTCCAATCCAACTTTGGCGCCTCTTCCTGATTTCTTCCTCTGCTGAAGGAATCCAGTTTGCTCTCTCCGACAGTATGCTGTTGTATTAATGGTGTCTGGTCAATAGATCCGAAGTATTTTACGTAGACTACTATTAATAAACACTTTTATCTTGCGGATGATGGTTGGATGGTTGTGGTTTTCCAAGTCTCCGCCCTATACAGTAGACCTGTCGTGACATTTATGTTGAAAATTGTGACTTTGGTGTTGGTTGATAGTTGTTTTGAGTTTCAGATGTTTACCTACTTACTTGGGTAAACAGAGGTTTTTAAACTAATGTGAGTGATTAGGAATAGACTTTGTAATAAGATGTTAGGGGTAGGAATTATAGTTGTAGGTTTTCATGAAGAACTGAAATCAGCTGTCGTTCGCCATTTTGACTTCGTACCTCTTAACCAATCAGAATGAAGCGGGCATCAGTACTTACGCATCAAAGCTTCTACTTTTTACAGTATTCAATAAAAGTTTATTTACAGTAAGCTATGGATAATGGAAAGTTATCTACGACAGAAATTTCACTCCATTCTGAGTCACATGTGTTGCAGTCAGTCATGATGAAAAGAAAATTATAACAGAAAAAATCACAGTTCCAATCAATTCTTTAGTAAAAATTATTACAAAATATATACTCTTTTTATTGATTAGATGAACGAAAACATGACCGTCACTACTAAATACGTTCTTTTTAGAAGAACATAACAGCAATGAGTTTATCCTCACACCCATTTAACCATATAGGTGGACAAACTCCTGACCAAAACCCAAAACTTTCGGCGTCAAATGTGATTTATTCGTCCATATTGTTTGAATATGATACAGACGATTAAGCTGATCAAAAATATTTATCATTTCCTAATGTTCATGATGACCTTTTTTAATTTTTGTTCACCTTCCATGATATTTCACTCGCCCGGAATGTGACTCCCACTCAGACAAACGTCTAAATACGCTATGAGAATAAATCTTCCACTTCATACCGTATATGACACTTAGGTTAACTTAGTTTGTGAGAAAGCGATAATAAGATGCCAAACACGAATTGCATTTGATAAGTTCATTTCACGCAATCGTTCGCGCAGACAGACGAAACAATTAGAAGCCGGAAAGCAAAATCAATCAGAGAAGGCGAATAGCACAACTCTTATACATATACACGTTCAAATCAAAAGAGAAGATGAAAAGACGAATGACCTGAGAAGATTAAATTTAATAGGTTTATTCAGAAGTTAAAAACAACCTAATGTTAAGTCTGACATCATAGTAAACATTACAACATGTAGTAAAGGAGAACATTGGTGAGGCCAACCGAATTGTCTTACAGAGTTACTTGGTGAAATAGGAAAACCATATTGTAAATCGTTCATTTGCAAATTATCAATCCATTATATCGAACTGGACTGTTCCTGTTGCGAAACATCAATCCATTGTCACTATTCATGCTTTTCATACAAATTTCATTGTGTTCCCACTCTTCCTTTCTTGATGTTCCCCCATCTTCTGTTGCCAGACATTACGTTTTCACTCACGTCATATACTACTTATAAGTAGCTCGCACCACAATGTTACTTAACTTGATAATGTCAAATCTTTCATTTATTAATTCATATTTCAGGTGATAGCTAATAAAAAATTAAATTGTCCATGCATATTTCACATTCTTTTGACAACTTTTCAGTTGGATTTTTTCTGCTCATTTTAAAAAAATGCGTAATTCATTATTATTTAACGTGAAATATTTTAATCATGATTACGGTTAAATAGTAGTTTTATTATTAATTCATTTAAAAACTGTTTAACAGTATTTTTGATAGTTTCTACCACTAAATGGTTGGTGTTCAACACCTGAATGGTTCAGAGGCGAGGAGTTTTGCGCGTAAGACTGAAGGTCCTCGGTTCAATTCCTGTCAGTAGCGAGGGTCGTGAGTGAGCACTGCTGATGAGTCTCATACCAGGTGGGACGAAACGGCCATCTGTTAGTGCTTCAAAGTTTCTAATGATGGTCTAACAATGATTGATTCAGGCTCACAAAAAGTAACTCAACTATCAGCACAACACTTTCATGAACATTATAATTGAAATAACTGAGTGTGAAGTACGGTGATCAATATTTTTAAATGAATGTAATTCCATTTTGACTAAATACGCGGATGCCCACTGTGAATTTCTCTTTTATAGTTTCTGCAATGCCATCTCCGAAACAAACCTGAAAGGTTTATCCACTGACAATTTCATTCTTTCGGTTTGAAAATTCCTTCGTAGAGCTTTCGAATGGTTTGAAAAGAACATGTTTTCGATTTTATACCTCTCTACCCCCATCAGATCATCTCTATGAAAAAACATTCAGGGACACTGTTCATTTCTTATTGAAGAAACCGACATCCTTTAGAGTATTCAAAGACAAAATGTATAGAATCAAATCATATGGAATATATCTATGTATTCTGAAAAGACACTACTTATATGATATCTTGTAAGTTTCATCAACCTCACTCGCCCTCCTCAAAAATGTCAAACCCACAGGAGTGCCGAACACCTTGGCCAACGAACGTCGCTAATAGCCCAAAAGCGTGAACCTCCTCTGTCTTCTGCATGTCGACAGTGACCCGTTTGCCGAACACCGAAGCAGTACCCCCTAGAACTGCCTAACCAACCAGGGCCGTTGGCAGTGATACCAAATGTGGTATACGAAGGAGTCAGGACCAAATGGAAGAAGACACATTTAGATTACGAAATGTGAACATATAGTCGTCTTCAATCACTGATTACCAATCCTATCAGGTTATTGATTGTCTTCTCTTCTCCTGTTAAAAAGACACTGATCACGCACTGGATTTCAACCTTCAGTCATTTGTAGGAGACTCTCCAATGCATACTGTTTATATACCATCTTATAAGTAGCATCAACCATACATTTTTTTCAATGAGCGACAAATTAAACATCCAAATTTTTCCTTTTTGTTCTATAGTTAAGTACAACATCTTCATAAACAATTTAAGTGATGAGCAGTATATTTTTACTCCTTCTGTAATTACTAATTTCCGAAACCATCACAAAACGTTCTTAAAACTGTGACCAAACAGAGATAAACAACTTGACCTTTATTCTTTTTTTAATCGAGTAGTCAGTAACGCAACTAATTTATTTGTTC